TTTCCGGTCCCAATTCAAGGTGCAGGTTATCACCTATAAAGCCCTAAACGGTTTGGGACCCACCTACCTATGTGACCGTATCTCCCTCCATGAACCATCTCGGGCCCTCCAATCTTCTGGGGAGGCCCTTCTCTCGCCCCTGCCAGTTTCATAAGCTCGCCTGGTAAGTACAAGAGAGAGAGATTTTTCCTCTGTTGCTCCCCGGCTCTGGAACTCATTGCCTGGAGAAATTAGGAAAGCCCCTACCCTAGAAACCTTTAAAAAGAACCTTAAAACTTGGCTCTTCCGCTGCGCCTTTGGTGAGTAGGTATACAATCTCACAGTATTGCTCAGCCTCAATGTTCTGTCATTGGAGTATATGTGTCCGTCCGTCCGTCCCCGTCCCCGTCCCCCCCGCCTTGTGGGAAAGCTTGATTCCATCATAATGATCCCTCCTCCACAAATAATCTGCTTCTCTTTTATCCCGCCCGAGTTTTTAATTAGTTCTTCTTTTTATCATTACATGTAGCCCGCTCATTGTCATTGTTTTTGTGCTTACTGTAATTTTATATTGTTATGTATTCACATGTTTTATGTAATTATGATGTTGTTGTTTATTGTTCGCGTTTTCGGTTCACGTTTTCGGTTTTTCTTTATTGTAATTGTTGTTTGGGCTTGGCCTCATGTAAGCCGCTCCGAGCCCCCATTGGGGAGACAGTGGCAGGGTATAAATAAAGATTATTATTATTATTATTATTATTATTATTATTATTATTATTATAAAAAGTAGTTTAGAAAGTTATCAAGCAAAGGAAAAATTGCCATCCAAGATAGGAGAGGCAAAGGACATGACTGGAGGCTGAACTGGGAGACAAGATGTATAAATAAATTATACCAGTTCATCCTTGCTTGGCTATGTGGTGAGAAGGCACTAACACCCATCTTTTGGATGCCTCCAAGCAGACCTGAGAGTATGTACCAGTAGCATCAGAAGAGTTTGTGTCACTTAGGGTCCTTCCACACAGCTGTATAACTCAGAATATCAAAACAGATAATCTACAGTATCTGCTTTGATCTGTATTATCTGAGTCCACACTGCCGTATAATTCAGTTCAATGTGGATTTTACACAGCTGTGTGGAAGGGGCTCTAGTGTGGTAACCCAAAGTGTCATCCCCATGGAGCTCTTCCCAAAACAATTGCCTAGTTATCCTAATGACAGCACCCACCCTCTTATGCATATACAGTTATTCCAAAAAAACCCAAAATAAGAAAACTGGAAATCCAATATATTTTCTGTCCCAAGTATTTTAAATGAGAGCTACTCAACCTATACAGCCGTGAGTGTTTTTTACATACAACTATTTTTTTCAAGTTTCAATCAAAGTTTTTGAATCTATTCCGTTTTTTTATTTAAAAAAACATAGTAATTGAAAAAATCTATAAAACCAAGTAAAATTGCAATCATTTTATTTCAATTTAATCAATAAGCCTAAATCCATACTGTTTCCATACATAAGCTTACTCATGGTATTCAACACATTTAAAAACGAAATATATACATCCTTCTGTCAATAATTATATTAAATTCTGAAGACATTGTAATGGAATAAAAATAAAAATCAAACCACTGGGTTGAGATTCAGTGTCCCAACTGTGGGTCATAAACAAAGCTACAGCTACTAATTTGGGTAGCATAACTGTTGTCCATTTTATAGTTATATACAGTATTTACAATAAATAAATAAATTACATTGCTTTACCGGAAGATTATGAGAAGCATTTTTCACAATTCAAGTTTGGTAAAATCAGAAATTTACCAGTGTAGACTGTGAATGAAATAAACCCTTTAAACACCAAACACACTACTTGCCACAGTATGGTTCATTGGAGGGATGGTGGAAGTTTTGTTCTAAGGAAGAATCATAGAATGTTAGAGTTGGAAGACACCCCAAGGGCCATCCAGTCCAACCCCATTCTACCATGCAGGAACACATAATCAAAGCCAACAGATGACCATCCAGCCTCTGCTTTACAACCTCCAGAGAAGGAGACTCCACCACGCTCTGAGGAGGCAGCAAATTTCACTGCTGGAACCGCTCTTATCATCAGGAAGTTTGGGTGGTATCTCTTTTACTGAAATCTGAATCCATTGCTCTTTGCTCTGGTCTCTAAAGCAGCAGAAAAAAAAACGGTCCCTTCTTCAATGTGACAGCCTTTCAAATATTTCAAATAAAGACATGTACCTAAGTTTGCCAATTCTAGGTCATCTGTCACTAGCCAAGGGCATAATTCCAAGCAAAGTGGAGAATATATGTTGTGAAACGGACAGGTCGATTTGAAGGCAGCAGAGCAACACTCATGTTGTGATCAACACCATAGTGGAGTATAATAATATAACACAGACAGAACTTGACTGAAACACTGAAGCTCACACAACTGGGAGAGGTTTTTGTTTTTTTAAGGGTGAAAGGTCATAGATTGATGGCACTGGAAGGGGACCTATGGGCCATCATGCCTAACCACCTGCTCAGTGTAGGATCTCCAGCTAGAACATCGCCTGCAACTTATTTTTGAAGATATCAGGGGAAGTAAACCACACCACTTCCTTCAGAAATTGGTTCTATTACTGAACTATTCACACTAACAAGAAGTTCCTTCTAATGTTCAATTGAAATCTACCCTCCTGTAACTTACAGCTGTTCAACCTAATTCTACTCTGAGGCAGCAGAGAATAGGTCTGCCGACCTCTTCTCTATGGAAGCTCTTGAGGTATTGAAAGAGTGTCACCCATAAAGTTAAATTGTACCCAGCTACAAGAAAAGTTGCAGCAGAAGACATGTTCAAATAGTGAAGCAGTATACCAGGGGTCCTCAAACTAAGGCCCGGGGGCCGGATACGGCCCTTCAAGGTCATTTACCCGGCCCTCAATCAAGATCAACATAAGTCTGAAACGATTTGAAAGCACACAACAACAATCCTGTCTCATTATCCAAAAGCAGGCCCACACTTCCCACTGAAATAGTAATAAGTTTATATTTGTTAAAATTGTTCTTCATTTTAATTATTGCACTACAAATAAAATATGTCCAGTGTGCATAGGAATTCATTCATGTTTTTTTCCAAATTATAATCCGGCCCTCCAGCAGTTTGAGGGATTGTGACCTGGCCCTCTGTTTAAAAAGTCTGAAGACCCCTGCAGTATACTGTGTGGGCTGCATGGGAAAACACAGCTACTGAAAACACTTAAGGCTGCAAATATGCAGTTAAGAGCGATCCCTGCATTAAAAAACTGCTTCAAGATACGTGTCTTTTGGCATGATTCCTTTCTTTAAAAAGAAAAAAAATCCTTTCCCCTTAGCTGTCAGTAATATGATGCAGGGCATACCGTAAAAGAAGATACAAGGTCTTCTGAGATTGGACCCATTATTAGTTTGTTCGTTCTTTTTCTCACTTTATTTCAAGCAAATCCAAATCACAACAGCCTAAGTTAAGCTTAATTGTTTGACAAAGTAATTGCCTAATACATTAATGGCATAACCGTTTTAGCATATACTAAAATTAATTTTAAAAATACACTGGATTAGTTACATTAGGTTGAAATCTATGCTCAGTGCAACTTCTGAATAGAGATATATAGGATTGCACCGTTAATAATATAGAATCACAGTGTCCAGTATCCAAAGATTATGTGATTACTGAGTTAAGTCTTTGAAGTTAACCTGAAAAGTAATTCTTCATGCTTCACTGCAGTGTTTTTAAAATTTAAGGACAAACAGAAAATGAACTGCAAGATCCATAATGTGAGTTTTTAATAACACAACTAGCCATCCCCTGCCACACGTTGCTGTGGCCCAGCCTGTGTATATGTGCTTTGTGTGTGTGTATATTTGTGTATATGTGTATATATGTGGTTTTGTGCATGCGTTGTAATGTATTTTTTGGGGGGGGATTTTTAAGTCTCTTCTGCTGTGTTTTTATGACTGACCAGCCATCCCCTGCCACGCGTTGCTGTGGCCCAGTCTGATGATCTGGAAATAATGAGAAAGTGTTGGTTTCTAATATATGTAATTTCTTTATGCTTGTGGGTAAACAGTATTTCTTGGTGTTTCTTTGTCAGTGTTGATGTGGAGATTGTCTGGTTTGCCTACTCTGGAACATGCAACATATAATTGTCCTTCTTTAGGGGTCCCTTTCAAATCTATGATACTATATCTGTGTGTGTGAATCATATCTATCTATCTATATTTATGACTGGATGGCTCTTTGTCAGGAGGGCTTTAATTAGATTTTCTTGCCCTGGTGAAGGGAGTTGGACTGGATAGCCTTAAGTATTTTCTGTTGGTCATGGGGGTTCTGTGTGGGAAGTTTGCCCCAATTCTGTCGTTGGGTTCAGAATGCTCTTTGATTGTAGGTGAACTATAAATCCCAGTAACTACAACTCCCAAATGTCAAGGTCTATTTTCCCCCAAACTCCATCTGTGTTCATATTTGGGCATATGGAATATTCGTGCCAAGTTTGGTCCAGATCCATCATTGTTTGAGTCCACAGTGCTCTCTGGATGTAGGTGAACTACAACTCCCAAACTCAAGGTCAATGCCCACCAAACCCTTCTAGTGTTTTCTTTTGGTCATGGGAGTCCTGTGTGCCAAGTTTGGTTCAATTCCATCATTGGTGGAGTTCAGAATGCTCTTTGATTGTAGGTGAAATATAAATCCCAGTAACTACAACTCCCCAATGACAAAATCATTTTTTTTAGTGAAAACATACATTGGGTTGTTAGGTGTCTTGTGTCCAAATTTGGTGTCAATTCGTCCAGTGGTTTTTGAGTTATGTTAATCCCACAAACAAACATTACATTTTTATTTATATAGATAGTCACTCGTTGGCCTGATATGTGTATTGTGTCCAAATTTGGTGTCAATTCGTCCAGTGGTTTTTGAATTATGTTAATCCCACAAACGAACATTTCATTTTTATTTATATAGATTTGGCTGTTTTGACCCCATAGCTAATTTTCCCCCTCTATCCTAAAGAGCTAAGAGCAGCTGAAATAGGGCGATATTGAGAGAAGGACCAAACACCTCCCCTCAATATTGAAAAGCTTATAGTAGTATCTCCTGCATCACACCAAGACATATGGGAATTTCAAAAGCAATTTGGTAGGAAGAATCAGTTATTCAAAGAAAACGAAGTCAAGTATTCAATTGGGCTTGCACCATTTTGTATCCCAGCCAAGGAAGTTTGTATCAAAAATAAAGCATTATGTTGTCTACATTCTACCTATTAGAAAATTATAATAAAAATTAAATGCTAACCTACAAATGGGTTTTATAAAACGGACTCGAAAGTAAGTAGTTTGTGCAATAAGAATGATACCTCACCCCTGAACTTGTTTCACGTAAACGAAATGCCAAATGCAGTGGTAAGACTTTCCATATGCATCTCCAAGTGATCTCTATTACATTTTAGTGATAGTATGTAAGCACGTTTTTAAAAAAGTGGATACATAAATCCTTAAAAAATGTACAAGCAAACCTCAAAATAGGATAAAAATGCAATGCTCTGCAACCACTATAAAGTATTTTCCTTCTTGTAACAAGTTTGCTCCATTTTTATTTCCCCCAAAGATCTTTATATATTATATGCATATCAACTACTTAATCCAACATTACTGAGCAACATTCAATTTATACTTCATATTTTTAACTAAAGAAAGTACTATAAATACCAGCAATTTGTCAATAATGATTTGAAATGGGAAATTATCATGAAATGCAATATGAAAACAGGTGAAATATTTTTCAGTTACACTTCAGAGTCTTTAATTGAGGTGCAAAAACTGCTTCATAAATTCGTAAGTGGTGAAAGCAACAGCCTGTGAAGGGACGCATCGAATGTAATTCAGAGATAATCCTCTATATAATCCTCTTCGTATTCCATGGTTTCCATAAACATATTTCAGTGTCTGTATCATTGTACTAGAAAGAGAACAAAGTCTTAATTTACTTAAAATGCAATCTTGTCTAAACATTTGCCTTTTAATAACTTTATAAAAAGAGGAAAGATATACAGAAGAATATTTTAGTTTCTTGTAAATCTTTTTCTAAAAGGAAACAATCGATTCTTAATGTCACTATGGCATGCAGCTATTCCATTTTTATTCCTTACTGGGGTTTTGGAACAGAAAAAAAAAGGAATGCAATAATGGGCAAAACCTGGGATATTACAAGTAGAAAATAACATTCTCTTCTCATAATGTTTCCATGAATGAGATAAAGTAATTTATGATAACAACACCCTCATCTGGAAGAACTTGCACATGAGAAGTTTTATATATCTGGACCATATACACAGGAAATGCTAGAGAGCTGTTCATGAGTTCCCAAACTTTGTCTATGTGTGTGTTCTGTTACTGCGATTGTGTTTATTGTAATGTTATTTTGTTACTGTATTCATTTTTTTTCTCATGAAATTTTGATGATGTTGCTTGTTGTTTATGTTTTGGTTTTATTTTTCTGTAATATGTTGTCCGGGCTTGGCTCCATGTAAGCCGCTCCGAGTCCCCATCGAGGAAATGGTGGTGGGGTATAAATAAAGATTATTATTATTATTATTATTATTATTATTATTATTATTATTATTATTATTACCTGAATCCAATTATTAGTCCCAACTAAAATGGACCCACTGAATCAATAGAACTCGTATAACTTGTGTAGTTCTTGTTGATTCAATGAATCCCCTCTATTTAAGGAACAAATTAATTTAGGCCCATGTTATCTCTTTTTCTTACAGACCACAGACAAACTACAAGAGAGGAGATTCCATCTGAACATGAGGAAGAACTTCCTGACTGTGAGAGCTGTTCAGCAGTGGAACTCTCTGCCCCGGAGTGTGGTGGAGGCTCCTTCTTTGGAAGCTTTTAAACAGAGGCTGGATGGCCATCTGTCAGGGGAGATCTGAATGCAATATTCCTGCTTCTTGGCAGGGGATTCGTCTGGATGGCCCATGAGGTCTCTTCCAACTCTTTGATTCTATGATTCTATGAGTATGTGCAGAGAAGGCCAGAATATTGATTTATTTTAAAATAATTTTTATTAATTATCAATCATTAAAAACTTCCCACACCACATACTTCTATATCTTTTATCCATGAGCACAATTCTCTTAATTTCTGTATAATATCTAAATTGGCTTCACCACTTTTTATCCATTCCATATAAACTAGCCAGTCTGAATTAGACATGCTATAATATCAGATTGTGCTTGATCATAAAGAGAGTTATTTTGGTTTTCCATGTTCCTTTTTGTTCCATCTTTCCAATTCCATGCTATCACTGCCTGTCCTGCTAAAATTATAGCTTTAAATAACTATTTTCTATTACTTTAACCTTGTTGTTACCTAAAACTTCCATTAGCATCAGATCCATGTTCACTTAAAGTGGTATTTTAAACATTTTAAATTTTCTTCAATTTTTTCCCCTTTTGGACATTCCTACCACATATGAGCATACCATCCTTTATTTAAACCAAAATGCCAACACATTGGACTCATCCCTCCCATCCTATATGAAAGTTAGGCTGGGGTTCTATACCATTTCAAAATAAATTTCCTTTCCAGTTTTTTTTAATATTTCTCAATTTTTATACTTTTGATCACCTTCATTAATCTCTCTATTATTTCACTAGTAAGTTGGCCTAAAAGGCCAGGATATTTGACACTTTTGACTGAAATGTTTCTCTTTATAGAGCACAATCCACCAGGGAATCCTAAACGTAACAACCATTGAAGCGAATACTATTCACTTGTGACCTGTGCTCAAATCAGCTGTGCAGTAATTAAATATATGCTAAAGTTAGTCTTTCAGATGGCCCACATCTTTTTAATTCATGGTAGATGTCTTCTTACATCCACAACATAATCAACTATTGAGAAACTGCAGAAAGGGATTTATGCTCGGCTCAGTTTTCAGGTGTTAGGGATTTGCTGGACTGAATAACGATTTGTGGACCCTCCATATGGTACTGCTGATTCTAGTCCACTGTACTGTCCTCTGCCTCCACTATCTGTGTTTACCTAGTGGGTCACAGGCAGTATTAGATGAGAAAGAGGGAGCCATGTTGCTATTCTATATTTCCATTTGAAAGATCTCCTGCCTGCTGGATAAACACAGTTGAGGGCAGGGAAGACTGACAATGTGAGCAAGCAGTTCTACCAGGAAGTCAAGTGTCACTGGCAAAATTAAACCAGTGGCACTGGAGAGTACGGGCAGGATCATCAGGATCCTACCATGCTGATTTCTATTACAACGGTTCTGACCCAGATTACTTGCCCGAATGTGTCTCCTGCTATGAACCATCACGAAGCTTAAGATCATCAAGAGAGGCCCTGCTCTCGATCCCAACACCTTCGCAAACGCGGTTGGTGGGGACGAGGGACAGGGCCTTTTTAGCAGTGGCCCCCTGTCTGTGGAACTCTCTCCCTAAGGACATCAGGTTGGCCACCTCCCTTCTGTCCTTTAGAAGACAACTGAAGACCTGGCTCTGGAACCAGGCATTTTGACTAGAGAGGAACAGCAATATGAAAGGAAAACTTTTGGATATCCCAATATCGATTCTCCTGGCTTGGTCTTGGTGTATTGGCACGCTAATTTATTTATTATTGATGAATTTACTGTGGAAACTGGATAATGTTTTAAATTGATTTATTGGTATATGTGGGGGGGGGGGGTTGTCGTGTCAGACGCAACTTGAGAAACTGCAAGTTGCTTCTGATGTGAGAGAATTGGCTGTCTGCAAGGACGTTGCCCAGGGGACGCTCGGATGAATTGATGTTTTTATCATCCTTGTGGGAGGCTTCTCTCATGTCCCCGCATGAGGAGCTGGAGCTCATAGAGGGAGCTCATCCGCCTCTCCCCGGATTCGAACCTGCGACCTGTCGGTCTTCAGTCCTGCCGGCACAGGGGTTTAACCCACTGCGCCACCGGGGGCTCCTATATGTGGGTTGCATCACTGGATGCTTATGTAAGGCCACCCTGAGTCCCTCTTGTGGGGAGAAGAGTGGGATAGAAGTATATGTAATACATACATACATACATACAACACCCCAGTTACGTGTAAACCCAGTCACAAGAGCCATCCAGTCCAACCTAGACCCCTTCCACAAAGCTGAATAAAATCCCACATAATCTGCATTGAACTGGAATATATGGCAGTGTGGACTCAGATAATTCAGTTCAAAGCAGATATTCTGGGATTTTCTGCTTTAATATTCTGGGATATAGGGCTGTGTGGAAGGGCCCTAAGAATGAGTGATTTAATATGAAAGGTTAAACTTACAGGCACTTCTCTGAATCTGGAAGAATTGCTCCTAGCTGCATTCGCCTTCGTGTTACATCAAGAGGATATCTAAGGAGAGGGAGGAAAGTGAGTTGGTGTTTAGTTGTAAACACAGCACTGTAAGCATTCATATCATGAATAAAAGATCAGCTAACAAATATATGTTGGATATGAAACTGACCTACACTGGCTGACAAAACTACTCCAAGGAATTGGGTATTTCCCTGCTCAACTAACCAATGTTTTGATTTCCAAAAAGGGATTCCGGGTCTCAGGCCCACATCTTTGCAATGTAAAAGATGGTTTACAACTATAGGGTTATTTTACATGAAGAGTAACAACAGCCACAAGTATATATAATGGGTTTTTCTCAAAAAATGTGTCTTCTGAAATATAGAGAATATTAACCAGAAATTATACCCAATAAGACTTAATGGCCTGATCCCACATGTGATTTCCAAATACAGTAAATCCATTGAATCTTAAATGGAGTACACTTATTTATTTGTTTGTTTATTTACTTCATTTATACCACGCCTTTCTCACCCCACAAGGGGTGAGAAACTCCGGCAAAGGCGGAGTTACAAACTCAAGGCGGCTTACAAACTCCGGCAAAGATTCAATGCCACAAATAAATAAGTTCTGCTGCTCCAAGGACTAGAACATGTACCAATGGATTGAAATTACAAGAAAGTATATCCCAACTAAACATTTATATATTTTTTTACTGTGGGAGTTATCTGGCAGTGGATTAAATTGCATTGAAGGATGGTAGATGTCTCATCTTCAAAGATTTTTAAATAAAAGACTAATAAGCATCTTGTAGGTGTGTTTTTGTTGTGAATTCTTGCAAGACAAGACTCTTCCCAAGGCCACACTTAGAAATTTATGAATCAAGTTACTATAAAACTACTATAGGCCCGCTAAATTGAGTGGTAAGTCAACCATGTAAAAATCTGTAGTTGAAAAACAAAAACAAAAGATAAAAGACCCAATACCTGAGTTGTATTAGCTAAAGTAAAGGACAAAATCAAGTCTGTCAACATTTAAATACTTTGAATTCACTGACAGTTAAAAAAAAACTTCTCAGTAGAGACTAGATCTTTAAAGTCTCAACACTATTTTTACAACCCAAATGTTTAAAAACAGGGTTGAAAAGCCTATGTCCCTTGAAATGGAACTGGATTGCAGTTCCAGTAAGCTCAGTCTGTAGAGGCAAATGATGAAGGATGAGTGTAGTTATCAACATTTAGAAAGCTACAGGTTCCCTATTTTAAAGGAGCCAAAAACAAGCAGTAAAAATCTCCTGCTCGCATAATTAATTTACATATGAAAACCAAGCACCAGGAAAAAAATGGAATGTGGGGCAGCGAGTTATATGAGACTGAAATACCTATCTTCCCTTGTAGCTATCTGGCATCTCATTTGGTCCAGATTTTAAAGACTCTACTAATATTTCAAATTCAACATGTAGACCTGTAAAGGCAGTATGTGCCTGATGGTTATCTATGCAACTAGAACTGTACTTAAAATATCCAGGCTCAAATTTCCATTTGGCAGTGAAGTTGACTTGACGTCCTCAGACCAACTACTCTCAGCTTGGCCTACCTCACAAGTTTGTTTTGAGCACAGAGGGACAAGCATGTATGCTTCCTTGAGCCCATGGGAAGAAAGGCAAGATGTACATGAACTAGAATATCACACTACTATACTCACAGAGAGAGATAAAAATCAATTACCGTATATACTCGAGTATAAGCCGACCCAAATATAAGCCAAGGCACCTAATTTTACCACAAAAACTGGGAAATCTTATTGACTCGAGTATAAGCCGAGGGTGAGAAATGCAGCCGCTACTGGTCAATTTGACAGAAGGCCACCCAGTCTTTCTGTCATTCCCTCCCCCCTACCTCGCAGAGCACGAGCTTTCCTCAGCGGTAGCAGAGGGGGAGGAAGCCCCTGCGGCAGGCTTTTCTGCAGGCTTGCTCTCCTTCTTCCTTGTCCCATTCGCGGCCACGGTGGCAGCGGTGGGAGGAAGCAGAAAAGCTGCGCATGGGGCGAGAGGGGAGGGGAAAGTGCACGCTGCTTCCCTTCCTCTCTTGCCATGCACGCACCTTCTTCGGCGGCGGAGGCAGGAAAGATGCACGAGGGAGAAGGGAAAGATGCGTGCCTTTCTCTCCTCCCGTGCCCTGCGCACACCTTTACTGCTGCTGCCAAGGAAGGCGCGCACGGGGCATGGGAGGAGAGAAAGGCGTGCACCTTTCCCTCCTCCCTCGCGCGTCTTTCCTGCCTCCGCCGCCAAAGAAGGTGCGAGGGAGAAGGGAAAGGTGCACGCCTTTCTCTCCTCCCATGCCCCGTGTGCGCCTTCCTCGGCAGCAGCAGTAAAGGTGCGCACAGGGCATGGAAGGAGAGAAAGGCGCGCACCTTTCCCTTCTCCCTCGTGCATCTTTCCTGCCTCCGCCACCAAAGAAGGTGTGCGCACGGCAAGAGAGGAAGGGGAGCGGCGTGCACTTTCCCCTCCCCTCTCGCTCCATGCGCAGCTTTTCTGCTTCCTCCCACCACTGCCCCCGCCACCGCGGCCGCGCATGGCACAAGGAAGAAGGAGAGCAAGCCTGCAGAAAAGCCTGCCGTAGGGGCTTCCTTGTCTTCTGCCACCGCCGAGGCTGAAGACTTTCCCTTTCCCTCCTCCTCCCTCGTTCCCTGACCCGAATATATGCCAAGGGGAGGTTTTTCAGCCTGAAAAAAAAGCTGAAAAACTCAGCTTATAGTCGAGTATATACGGTAATTGATTATAATGTATTCAAACTGTACTAATTAATAAAAATTACAATAAAAACATTTATTGTATGTCATAAAATGATGTATAAAACAATCCTATCACTGATTTCTTAAGCATGGGGCTATATGAATGCAATCTCAATAGCTTCATTTGTTTCATCGTGTCTAAAGTAAGACACATCCCTTTTAAAGAAATAACATACTTAATGCCTAGCTTTTCAGTGTTTTGATTACTGGTATATTTTTTATTATTTGACTTTGATATAGGATTATCAGTGGGAGTCTTTTGATTATAGATACTAAATTATTTTAAAATAGATCTCTGTAGCTTGGGCATATACGCTCAGTTCTCACAGTCTCCCTTCACAACTCATAAGTCTAAGATTAAGACCAAGTTCGATTCCATGTTTTGAAGATTAAGTTCCTGATACAAACTATCCTAACAATGCTGTAATTTATTGCAGTAAAATACTAGAACAACTTACGATATTGTCTGTGCTATTGCTCCAGCTATGCCACCACACAGCAAATTTACATGAGTTTTCAAAACTAAGACATCGGGATTATCTAAGCAAGGCCTCCCGAGGAGGGCAGGCGCTTGGGCAAGTCCCACACTCTTTAAGGTACCAAACGTAAAAAATGAGAAACCTGAAAGGAAAAAATTTAACTTTAACAGAAACATTACCTCAACCTGCTGCATAAACACTATAGCTATACAGATGTTATAGTCCCAATCCGGTTAAAAGATAAGCATGTCTTTACATATATTCATAACAAAGAAATAACGCTATCTCTTATTGAGGAGGAAAAACAATGACACTGAAGAGCTAAATCCACTATTAGTTTTGAGTCAAGTAGGTCTAATAAAACTAGTAGGTTCTCAATTGGTTGTGAGTAATGTTTCCCTTTGTCTTCAGTGTGTTTACTCCAAATAGTTGTATTTAGCAAAGTTGATTGATTAGTCCATTGACCATATCAACATTAAAAACAAAAACAGAAACTTGCACAAATAGACAATAATCACTATCCTAAGACTCCCATAATAGTGAACTAACATACATTCAAACTTGATTAAGTTAAAAGATAATTAAAAATATCATCATTAAAATGCCAAGGTAAAATTTCACACCACAAAAATTAAAAACGAAGGTTAAAATGAAGGTTAAAATAGACCACCTTGTTGTATTTAACTCTAACATAGGGTTGAACAAACGTGGAAAGCTTGTGGGGCACACTGGTCCAACAGTAAGACCACTGCACTGGCTCTCACAAAAAAAATCAATTGTTTTTTCACTCCCACATTCCATCTAACAGGAGAGGAATTTCCACCATGTTTTGGAACCTTTATGAGACTTTTGGCCTCAGAAGAGGCTTTAAAAAAAACAAACAGAGAGTAGAAGTAACTTCCTGTTCATTACTTGTTCCAAACACGTTTTCCTGGGATGTAACAGGGCATTCAAAATATAGTGAAAATGGCTCCCTACCCCCTAGAAGGCATTTTGTGGTAGGAAAACGTTTTTGACCTCTGGAGGAATCCAAACATGGAGAAAATGCCCTCCACAATCTTCAGAGGTCCTACTATCGCAAAAAAAAGGGGAACGGGAAAGACTGGGGATCCTGGGGGCTGCCATCATCCCACTAGCTGTATCTTGACCACTAATGTTCAAAAGGCTCAGATGAGCTAAATCAAGCTTTCTATAAATCAAGATGTCTCTCTTTTCCTGACAAAGGAAGCCTATGATTATGGTGGCCACAGAGAAATCCTTCCCCTATCGATAATAATAATATTAATAATAATAATAATAATAATAATAATAATAATAATAATCATTTATACCCCGCCACCATCTCTCCCAAGGGGACTCGGGGGGCTTACATGAGGCCAAGCCCAACAACACATCAGTAAAAACAAAACAGCAAGCAAATAAAACAGTACAATTAATATAATTCACTTATAAACAATAACACACATAATTTAAAACCTTATGGCCAGGACAGATGTAATAAATTAATTTTTTAAAAATAAACACTGGGCATGAACAGAGGTAGGATGTATCTAAGCAGGAGGGCTTTAAAAGATAATGTAGGGAGATCAACCGAATGGGTAGTAAACTGCTTCTGATGATGTATTTTATTGTATTTTATATTTTAATGTATAATGATGATGCATTCTGCTGTTTTTTATATTACTGTATATCAACACATGTTGTGAACCAGCCTCAGTCCCTCCTCAGAGGTGAGAAGACCAGCATATAATACTTCTAAATAAATAAATAAATTCTGAGGACAATTGCAGAGAATTAATCAGATCAGGGCATTGTTTCCTTATTCAGGGAAGGCACACTGGAACAGCCACGTTTTCAGGCTCCTCCTAAAGACTGCCAATGTGGGGGCTTGTCTGATATCCTTGGGGAGTGAGTTCCAGAGTCAGGGGGCCACCACAGAGAAGGCCCTCGTCCCCACCAATCGCGCCTGCGAAGGGGGCGGGAGCGAGAGCAGGGCCTCTCCAGATGATCGAAAAGATTGAGTGGGTTCGTACACAGAAATGCAGTCACGCAAATCTTAGATCCCTGGCAGGTTCGTATGGGGTAATAATAGTTTTGACTCATCAGTCATCTGTCCTTTTAAAATGTCATTGAATTTCTATTCTTTGTCTGAAGAATTATTGTTTTCTTGTCACATGGACATTAAACTTTCAAAGCACAGTAGCCTTTATGGCTTGTGTTGCACTCAAATAAAGTCAAAATCTGGAACGTGACAAACAATTCTATAAATTATTTTTATCATCCTTAGTACGGCTCAAGGTGAATTATAATTTTAAAAAATGAAGCTAAAGGCATCCAAAAAGTGACAACTGAAATGGGATTAAATTCATGACATTATCAAAATGATTTAAAACTAAACTTAAAAATACAAAAGACAGTTAAAAGACAAAAAGCAAATAAACAGTTCAGTCTAAAAAAACACAGCACCCTCAGTCCATTTGTTAAACCTTTCTGTTTTAAAAGCCTGCCAGAATAAAAAAATCTTTCCCTGGTAGTGGGAAGAAGAGAAAGAAGTGGGCCATTCTGGTTTCCTTGGGAAGGGAGCACCAAAGATTAGGGCAGCCACTGAGAAGGCCCTTTCTTGTATCCCCACCACAGCACCCAAGAAGGAGGAGGTCCTAGAAATTTTATTTGTAAAGTACTGTGCAAATTCTTCACAGCAAGCTGTTGAGTGGTCTTCATTTTCTTCTTGAGGTGAATTGTGTAATAAGCCTTTAACTACTCAAAACAGCCCCACTGGAAGGCCCCATGTAAATACAAGGGAGGCAACAAAGAATAATTTATTTGTTGTTCCCACTCTCACTGAGCAGTTTTTCAAACAGGCTTTAATCCATGTTTAGTTAGACCTGCTTAAAATCCTGAACTTCTGCAGAATCATCTGCTGAGGTGACAGAAACTTCACAAGAACCATCAAAAATCCATCCAGATCAACCAGCCCCCCTGGAACAGACAATCCTAATTGGTTTCCCAGTTCTGCAGAAGTTCTAAACCCGATCAGGTAATGACCAGTCCATGATGATACAACTGCAGAGAGTTCCTCTGAATGAATAGGGCCAGAAATGATTTGGTTGTCATGGAATAATAATAATAATAATAATAATAATAATAATAATAACTTTATTTTTATACCCCGCCAACCATCTCCCCTAGGGGACTCTGGGCGGCTTACAAGGGACATACCCAAAATTACAATTAAAACACACATGGAAGCCTTGAAGTTGTGGGCCACTTCCAACAGGACAGCTTCAGTATGGATCTTGAAGTTCCCCAGCATTGCAAGCTGTTATCTTTGCAACCGCAGATGCAGTGAAGTATTTTTTTTCCTCATAAGGGGAAGCAAATTGAAGAGTCCTGCAAACAAATATTAAATCAAATCCTGACTGGGAAAGAATCGAATTCAACTCACCTGCATATGGAGCCATTCCTACTATTGTTGGTGTAAGTCCTCGATAAAATCCTTGCATACCACCTTCCTTTTCAAGCAAGCCGGTGATGACAGGAATAAAAATATATATATTTAATGACTTTGAGTAAAATGTTTTCTTTACATTCTATATGGTACATCACCTTTACCAGCCAATTCTAGATCTGATCCAAAATTTTGGAGGTAAAATGAACTTTGTTTAATATGTTTATGATCACATATCTGGGCAGCATCCAGTAGTTGAATCAATCATCTCACAACCATATCAGCTGTAACAGACAGTATATTTGCTTTGGTTAGACCACACCTGGAATATTCTGCTTTGGTTAGACCACACCTGGAATATTCTGCTTTGGTTAGACCACACCTGGAATATTGTGTCCAATTCTGGGCACCACAACTGAAGAGAGATATTGACAAGCTGGAATGTGTCCAGAGGAGGGCAACTAAAATGATCAAGGGTCTGGAGAACAAGCCCTATGAGGAGCGGCTTAAGGAGCTGGGCATGTTTAGCCTGAAGAAGAGAAGGCTGAGAGGAGATATGATAGCCATGTATAAATATGTGAGAGGAAGCCACAGGGAGGAGGGAGCAAGCTTGTTTTCTGCTTCCCTGGAGACTAGGACGCGGAACAATGGCTTCAAACTACAAGAGAGGAGATTCCATCTGAACATGAGGAAGAACTTCCTGACTGTCAGAGCCGTTCAGCAGTGGAACTCTCTGCCCCGGAGTGTGGTGGAGGCTCCTTCTTTGGAAGCTTTTAAACAGAGGCTGGATGGCCATCTGTCAGGGGTGATTTGAATGCAATATTCCTGCTTCTTGGCAGAATGGGGTTGGACTGGATGGCCCATGAGGTCTCTTCCAACTCTTTGATTCTATGATTCTATGATTTTCACATTCTAACTGTGCTAATCATTTTTGCAAAACATTACCATCATAGGAAACTATGTCAGAAACAAAAGAAAAGGATATTTGCACTGACGTTCAGAGGATAACTTTGACAAAGAAAGGGATAAGCTTTCTCTGTTTAAATGTATATGAATTATTTAAATTTATCCTGACTGTATTAGCCTTCTGTTCTTGCTACAGATCTACAGAATCATAGATTTATAAGAGATCACAAGGGCCATCCAGTCTAACCCCTTGCCACATAACTCTTCCAGTTCCCTGACATTACAGATGGAAAACCAGAATGGAAGTATCTTACAGAAAATAAGAGATGTTTCAAAATCTTTTAAAATTTCTTGATCTGCTTGGCTTTAAAAACTAGACCAGCTTCTCCTGCCATAAAATTTAAACTACCTTTCACCAATACCTATGAAATATCATCTCAAAATACATAGACAAACAACTCAAAGTACTAAATAGAAAACAATTACCTTTGTGTAAATGGTCTTGAATGCATGAATAATTCCAGTGTACTTGTCATCTCCTTTTACTTGGAATGCCAAACGTGCTCTCACCATGTCCAGAGGGTATGTACAAATTACTGCAGTTATACCTTCCACAAGAAAAAAAATTAAAAGTCAGTTTTGTACAATCAATCTGGTATCTGAATTCAAAGGATTTGCCTTTTAATGTTTGGGTAAAGATCTGTTATGGAAATGATATACTGAATTCAGGGGGATTACTGATATAGCTATTCTTATACAGAACCTGACAGGATTAGTTGATTCATAGATAGATACACTATTGCAGTGGTTCTCAAACTGGGGGTCGGAACCCCTGTAAGGGTCACGAGGGAGTGTCAGAGGGGTCACTAAAAACCACCAGAAACACACCATTTTCTGTTGGTCATGGGGGTTCTATGTGGGAAGTTTGGCCCAATTCTGTCGTTGGTGGCTTCAGAATACTCTTTGATTGTAGCTGAACTATAAATCCCAGCAACTACAACTCCCAAAATGTCAAGGACTATTTTCCCAAACTCCACCAGTGTTCACATTTGGGCATATTGAGTATTTGTGCCAAGTTTGGTCCAGATCCATCATTGTTTGAGTCCACAGTGCTCTCTGGATGTAGGTGAACTACAACTCCCAAACTCAAGGTCAATGCCCACCAAACCCTTCCGGTATTTTCTGTTGGTCATGGGAGTTCTGTGTGCCAAGTTTGGTTCAATTCCATCATTGGTGGAGTTCAGAATGCTCTTTGATTGCAGGTGAACTACAAATCCCAGCAAACACAACTCCCCCCAACCCCACCAGTATTCAAATTTGGGCGTATTGGGTATTTGTGCCAAATTTGGTCCAGTGAATGAAAATACATCTTGCGTATCAGATATTTACATTATGATTGATAACAGTAGCAAAATGACAGTTATGAAGTAGGAAGGAAAATAATTTTATGGTTGGGGGTCACAACAACATTAAATTGTATTAAGGGGTCGCAGCATGAAGAAGGTTGAGAACCCCCGCACTATTGCAAAATGAAATCTGCTTTCTTGAAATCAAGGAGATAACTTTTTTTAAAGTTCTCATATTTTCTGTGTCATCTTTTTCCAGGAAGAAAACTAGCACAATGATGTGGAAGAGGTATTTTTGGTTCTTTTGCTATTTGACAAGCTTTAATCTCTTTGTTCTTAAAATGCCTTCATGGGGGAATGGATGAGGAAGAGCACTTGTTTTGAAACAGTTAAAATCATGTTTTTCGCCTCTGCTTCAGCCTATTTGTTTTTTTCCTTAGAGGAAGCTGTCAGACAATTACTCACCATTGAAGTGCTTACCACAGAGATTTGAATTACACAAGACTCAGGAAATATAAAGTTGAGCGTCTCCACGTCTCGGAAAGACGCATCACAATAGATTTGTCAGCATTTCCCTTATACTCCCTCTCTCAAGCCCGGTAATGTGCGTGCGTGCGTGCTAGGAGGATCTTACAAGTAGGAGGCAAGCTTTCCCCAACATCTGTCAATGCTTTTAATATTCAAATTAAATGGACACATAAGCCTTCTTAAAAAAATATCTCCTGATCATACTCAGAATGTTGCTTGCAAGTTTCAGTCTGCTTTCATTTTTTTCCTTTCATATTACATACTGTGCCTCAACCACAGTAGAGATGTGAAGGCTGTTCTCTAAAATATCAGGTCTCCATTTGTATATGATCCTACCACTGCTTTCAGGAAAGACATGGTAAATTATTATTCAGGTTGGTTGGCTTCTGTTTTGTTTTTGCAGTGAACTCTACTTCCATTTCCCTTTGATTTCATCCTCTTGTGTATTTTTGTCCACTTATTTGTCTATTTTCCTGTGTTTACACATAATGGCTGTAAATCTATAGTTCCTCATGAAATTTTGTGTATTGGCCTTTTGTGTCATGTACAGAAAAGAACGGGACGGTATAACCAAAGTTTTCACTCCAGAAGGATGGAAGTATTCAAAATGCACCTTAGAATCGTTCACACTCCCGTTCATGGTGCTTAACAAGTCTGGAATGGCATGGTGAGCTTTTTTTTGCTTTTCCTTTTTTTGTTTGTTGTTGTGTCAGGAGTGACTTGAGAAACTGCAAGTCACTTCCGGTGTGAGAGAATTGGCCGTCTGCAAGAGGACGTTGCCCAGGGGACGCCCGGATGTTTTGAAGTTTTTACCATCCTTGTGGGAGGCTTCTCTCATGTCCCTGCATAAGGAGCTGGAGCTGATAGAGGGAGCTCATCTGCGCTTTCCCTGGATTTGAACCTGTGACGTGTTGGCCTTCAGTCCTGCCGGCACAGGGGTTTAACCCACTGCGCCACCGGGGGCTCCATATTGCAAGGTAGCACAAATGAAACCAAACATCCCAAGTCCACTACTCAAAATGACCTGTTTTAATTCTTGCAATATGCAGCAATATCTTCCCCATATATGACAAAGAGCAGTACATCAAAAGAGAAGCAGTGTGGTAAAGTGGTTTGAGAAGTGGATGGAGATCAGAGTTAGAATCTTTCCTACGTAATTTAAACTGGGGTTTGTTTGTTTTTTGTCGTGTCAGGAGCAACCTGAGAAACTGCAAGTCGCATCTGGTGTGAGAGAATTGGCCGTCTGCAAGGACGTTGCCCAGGGGACGCCCGAATGATTTGATGTTTTATCATCCTTGTGGGAGGCTTCTCTCATGTCCCCGCATGAGGAGCTGGAGCTGATAGAGGGAGCTCATCCGCCTCTCCCCGTATTTGAATCTGCGACCTGTTGGTCTTCAGTCCTGCTGGCACAGGGGTTTAACCCTCTGCGCCACCGGGGGCTCCATTTAAACTGGGCGATTTTGGGTGTTACACTCTCACAGCCTCAGAGGAAGGCAAGACAAACTCCCTTTTGACAAATTTTGCCAAGAAATCCCTGTGGGAGAGTTGCCTCAGAAATGACCTTAAGGTACACAACAATACCAAAATAACATTAGAAAGCTTCTCACAGACATGGAGGTGGTCACTGATAAGAATAGGTTCCTACTTCTGATCGACTTCCCTCCTTATATACCCCAAGGTTGCAAAGTGAGTGGCCTTCCAGATGTATATTGCAGAGAGATATTGACAAGCAGGAATGTGTCCAGAGGAGGGTGACTAAAATGATCAAGGGTCTGGAGAACACACCCTATGAGGAGCGGCTTAAGGAGCTGGGCATGTTTATTTATTTATTATTCAAACTTATATGCCGCCACTCCCCTGGGGCTCGGAGCAGCTTACAAGAACAGGCAAAAATCTAACACAATTTAAAAACAATTTAAAACTATTTAAAAACAGCAATATCAGAGATCAAACCTGTTGAAACAGATATGTCTTACATGCCCTGCGGAAAGCTGATAAGTCCCGCAAGGCACGGACTTCAGGTGGCAGAGTATTCCAGAGTGATGGTGCCACTGCTGTAAAGGCTCTGTGTCTGGTTGCTGTTAGACGCAAGGTCTTGACACTGGGAATTTCCAACAAATCTTGGTCTTCAGAATGGAGGGATCTCTGGGGTTGGTAGGGGGTGAGGCGGTCCCTCAGGTACATCGGCCCCAGACCATGCAAGGCCTTAAAGGTGAGTACCATCACTTTGAAAGTGATCCGGTGCTCAATTGGTAACCAATGCAGCTGTAGTAAGATTGGTGTTATGTGGCATCTCATCGGAATTCCCGCAAGAAGCCGAGCAGCTGCATTTTGTACCAACTTGAGCTTCCGGATCACCGACAGAGGAAGGCCAATGTAGAGGGCGTTACAGTAGTCCAGTCTTGAGATGACCGTAGCCTGGATCACCGTAGCTAGGTTGTCCCTGGACAGGTAGGGGGCCAGCCGTCTAGCCTGCCGCAGATGAAAAGGCGGTTCTGCTAACGGCGGAGACCTGGACCTCCATTGTCAGCAGAGGGTCCAAAAGGACTCCCAGACTCTTTACCAATGATGACGGGCGTAACGCCTCGCCATCCAGGATAGGCAGCTGGATATCCCCACTGCCCGGTTGACCCAGCCATAGGATCTGTGTCTTTGCTGGATTCACCCTCAACCTGCTGGCATGCAACCATCCAGTAACGGTCTTGAGGCACTGATGGAAATAATCAGGTACAGAGTCCGGTCGGCCCTCCATCCTCAGCACCAGCTGAGTGTCATCAGCGTACTGGTAACACTCAAGCCCAAAACCTCGAACCAGCTGAGCAAGTGGTCGCATATAGATGTTAAACAACAGAGGGGAGAGAATGGCCCCCTGAGGAACCCACAAGATAGACTGAAGAAGAGAAGGCTGAGAGGAGATATGATAGCCATGTCTAAATATGTGAGAGGAAGCACAGGGAGGAGGGAGCAAGCTTGTTTTCTGCTTCCCTGGAGACTAGGACGGAACAATGGCTTCAAACTACAAGAAAGGAGTTCCATCTGAACATGAGGAAGAACTTCCTGACTGTGAGAGCCGTTCAGCAGTGGAACTCTCTGCCCCGGAGTGTGGTGGAGGCTCCTTCTTTGGAAGCTTTTAAACAGAGGCTGGATGGCCATCTGTCAGGGGTGCTTTGAATGCAATATTCCTCCTTCTTGGCAGAGGTTTGGACTGGATGGCCCATGAGGTCTCTTCCAACTCTATGATTCTATGTTACTGAATGGCATAGTCCAGCATCACTGCTTATGCTGGGTAGCCTGGTGGGATTGCAATCCAGGAGTAACTAGTTCTTGTTGTGTACCTTTAAGTTGTTCCTGGAGGAATTACAATCCATCAGTAACTGTTTCTGTGTGCCTTCAAGTCATTTCTGAGGGTCAGTGGTTCAAATCCATGAGACGGGGTGAGCTTCTATATGTCAGCTCCAGCTTCCCATGTGGGGACATGAGAGAAGCCTCCCACAGGATGGTAAAACATCTGAGCATCCCCTGGGCAACATCCCTGCAGACGGCCAATTCTCTCAGACCAGAAGCGACTTGCAATTTCTCAAGTCGCTTCTGACATGATAAAAAAAATTCTGGTGGAATTGCAATCTATCGGTAACTGATTCTTATTGTTGTGATGACCCTATCATGGGGCTTTCTTGGCAAGATTTGTTTGAGGAAGGAGGAACTGCCCCCGCCTTTCTCTGAGGCTGAAAGAGTGTGACTTGACCAAGGATACTCCATGGCTTTTCTTAACCAAGTGGCAACTCAAACCCTGGTCTCCAGAGTCACAATCCAATTCTCAAGCCACTGCTCTCCCAATATCAGGAGGGCACACAATTCCTGCATCCGCTATAGTCAACAACAGGACATCGCAAAAGTGCCATCTTACTCAACAGCTTTTATACCAGGGCATGTTTGTGTAAATATTTTGGATGCTATTTATTTATTTATTTATTTATTTATTTACGACATTTATATGCCATCCTTCTCACCCCAAAGGGGACTCAGAGCGGCTTACAAGGTATATATACATACAATATATTATTACCATAGTACAATATCAGTTTTAAATATTGCACTATATCAATTATACTGTAATATTATTAGTAATATTACATGTAATATAAATATATAATTATAATATATTATTAGTAGTAGTATTCTATTGCATTACATTACAATATTATAAATATTATATGTATATACAATATATTATATATTATATTATAACATATTATTAGAATAGCTACTAAACACTACTCATTGTATTACCTTCAATTTGATTCAAAAAGATTACCTGTAGTCCAGGTGTTAACTGATTGGAATGAGAATACAAATTGGTAAACGAAGGATACAAAAAATATACAGAAAAAAATAAGTACCTGCCATAGATCCAGCCATTAACCGGTGAATATGCCCAGATACGCCAAGCTCATTTTTAATAATCTATAAAAGATAAAATTCTCAACATAAAAAAGTATGCTTTGATCTACTTAAGTGAACTTGAGTCTATTGTTCAATGCAATCATAAACAGCTTATCACTTCTGTCCACACTTTAAGAACTAACTATAACATAACTTTTAAATGATGTTTTAGAACTTCTGCAATCTCCCAGTCTCTAGCAGACCCCATTTTTCTGTGGTTCTTTAGCTACAATGCTCTTCAGGTTCATCATGAAGAAAAATAATTATGTATTTCTCTCCACTGTCTAAAAAATATTATCAACTGTATTTTCCTATTATTATTTTGTTGGCAGCTTTCCAAGAGCCTGGCTGCTGTTTAGTGGCATCTCAACTATCTTTATAACAGACAGAAGATCAAGCAAACCCAAGGAGAATAGTGTACATTTGAAAGAACCCGTAACTCCAGGCCAAATTGGTTTAAAGGTAATAAACTGGCAGTTTGAATTGATACACTTGGAGAACTCTTGGGAAGCTAGCACGAAATAGCATTATAGTCTAATAGTTTTGTTTCCTCCAGAGGAATTTTAAGAATATCTATAATTAAGTTTTATTTATGACTAGCTTGGGGACCTGGCGCTGCCCGGGTTATTAGAGAAAGTGGGTAATGGGGGTTCTGTATGCCAAGTTTGGTCTTGATCAGCCATTGGATGAGGGTCGCATTGTTTTCAGGACAGAGTGTGTCCTCAGGAAGTGAGTGAAGGTACTGCAAGTCCCATCATCCATGGTCCATCCTCCTTCAAACTGCGGCATGATGTAGAGTGGGTCATGGGGGCTCTGTATGCCAAGTTTGGTCTTGATCAGGCATTGGATGAGGGTCGCAGTGGTTTCAGTAAGTGAGTGAAGGTACTACAAGTCCCATCATCCATGGTCCATCCTCCTTCAAACTGCAGCAGGATGTAGAGTGGGTCATGGGGGCACCTCCCTCCACATACAAACATTTTCTCTCTCTCTCTCTCTCTCTCTCTCTCTCTCTCTCTCTCTATATATATATATATATATAGACAAGAATTTGGAACAATGACAAGCTACAGGATGAAATTTAATGAGAGATATCCAGGGATGGAGCCTTTTTCCCATTTTATTTTTTTTATTCCCAATATTTTGCTTTGACTTCTAAAATAGAGAGGAAATATAGTGCAAATATATTTGTGTCCCCTGTAATGAATTTCTTCATTTCTAACAGTAATCAAGACACAGTGCAGCCCAAAAATGTATTAACAGGCAATTGATTTTCCAAAATACTTGCTTTTATTCTTACTAGGATTGTCAGCTGCGGGATAGAAACAATCATTATTTTTGTTAGGCTGCAGAACAATGTGTACCAATACACCTACAAGAATGGATGCTGGAGAAAGTAAAACAAAGGATGGAATAAAAAAATCGAATAAATAATGATCCTCGACCATATGGTTAAAATTCAAAATGAACACTTAAAAAAAGTTCTGGTGTTTCTATATTCACTCAATGACTCAAATGTGAGGAACAGCGAGTATGGTGTAGTTGTTTGAGTGTTGGACTGGGAAACTGGGGCACCAGGGGTTTGAATCCCTACTTGAACATGAAAACTCACTGGGAGACCTTGGCCAAATCTTTGTAGTACATCCCAAGTCTTCAACTAGAGTGCTAATGGGCCTAACCAAATCAAGCAGCAGCTCTGTAGCTCTTTTCAGGGTTCTCAGAGATGGGAAGTGTGTTTCATGAGCAGCAAAGTGGGAGGGAGGACTTCCCCTTTGAAACTTCCCGTTTTATGCCAGTATACTGGCGCTCTCTCTCTCTCTCTCTCTCTCTCTCTCTATATATATATATATATATATATATATATATATAAAAGGTAAAGGTAGTCCCCTGACATTAAGTCCAGTCATATCTGACTCTGGGGTGTGGTGCTCATCTCCATTTCTAAGCCGAAGAGCCAGCCTTGTCCGTAGACACCTCCAAGGTCATGTGGCCGGCATGACTGCATGGAGCGCCGTTACCTTCCCGCCGGAGCGGTACCTATTGATCTACTCACATTTGCATGTTTTCGAACTGCTAGGTTGGCAGAAGCTAGGGCTGACAGCGGAAGCTCATGCTGCTCCCCGGAATCGAACCTGCGACCTTTCGATCAACAAGCTCAGCAGCTCAGTGCTTTAATCCACTGCGCCACCGGGGGCTCCAAATATATATATATATTGAAAGGCTCATGTTCAGGTGATATGTATGGGTAAATATGTTCTCTCAAGACGTCTGTAAGCATAATACAGAGCAGATAAACTCACTGTCCATGTGTCATTCATACACTGAATATCAAATACTGTTTTTTATGCATTCTTTTTATTTACCTCTCTGTAAATGTATTCACCCTCTGGTTTTGTTTTAATTCAGCTTGCAAAAGGTAAAATTCTTGATTTTACATTGTGGATACTGGAAAATAGTAACTTCAATGCATTTACATTAGTTGTAGAATTTTTAAAACCTTTTTTGATGCATTTACCTTCTTATTAATATAAAAACAGAGTACTAATGCATAACTTACAAATCACTTTTGGGAAAAGTTTGATATAGAATGGTCTGTTAAATATCAGTGTGTACTAAACCATCTTATGAAATAAAACTAAAGAAAATATCACATGGAATTACCTTTTTATACTGGCCAAATGCTGTAAACTGAATGGCACCATATGGAAAGATTCTAATCATCATTGCTCCATTTCCTTTATACAATCCTAGGTAACCTTCCTTTTTTGGTACAGCACACAATGTAGAAATCACACCTGTCAACAATACAAAACACACATTTAAGAGATATTCATCTCAATATTACTGACCCGGCTACTGAGACATGTTAAATTCCATTGATTTGGTAATACCACAAAGTTTGAAAAAACTCAAAAATAAAAAGGGGTCTGTACTACTTAGTTACTGTAGTTTGGACTACACTAAAATTCCTAGAGAACACTATAACTCTGCAAAACTCAAAGGAAGGGTATACCAAAATTCCAGAGACTTTTAATATGATTCACAGTCCAATCTTTAAACAGTTTGCACACGTAAATAAGCACACAGACGTGTAGTTAACATAGTGGGTTTTTTATATATAACGCAGCATGGGATTTTTCATTGGTTTCTTTTCAATGCTATCAATTTTTTACAATAATTTATATCTCAAAGTTAGGTACAGATGAAGTAAATGCTCAAGATACATGTACTACTTGAGATACACTCATAATTTATCACACAGACCAGTTCACACATCAGGATATGCTTGGGTTAACTAATAAGGTACAGGATAACTAAATAAGGTACAAGCAGCATGCTCATGAATGCTGGTTGGCTGCTCATAGTGCAAGCAAGAGTGACTAAAAAAACCCACTGGTCCTCTATCAGTGATGGTCTACTGCAGGGGTCCTCAAACTAAGGCCCAGGGGCCAGATACAGCCCTCCAAGGTCATTTACCCAGCCCTCACTCAGGGTCAACCTAAGTCTGAAATGACTTGAAAGCACACAACAACAACAATCCTATCTCATCAGCAAAAGTAGGCCCACACTTCCTATTGAAATACTATTATGTTTATTTTTGCTAAAATTGTTCTTCATTTTAATTATTGTATTGTTTTTAAGTGTTTTTTTTGCACTACAAATAAAATATGTGCAGCGTTTTTTTCTAATTTTTTTTATTTTTCCGACACAAAAATAGTACCATTACATATGATCATTGTTAGAAATTCAGTTGCTAAATTACATTGTGAGGACATATCACATATCACATATTGTTTTCCTAATGCTCTTATCTGTCTCCTCTTCACCTTACCCTTGTGTCTGACAGTGTGTGCAGTGTATGTGCAGTGTTCATAGGAATTCATTCATGCTTTTTTTCAAATTATAATCTGGCCCTCCAACAGTTTGAGGGACTATGACCTGGCCCTCTATTTAAAAAGTTTGTGGACCCCTGGTCTACTGCAAAGGATGTCAAAGCCTAGCATTCCAGCTTGTCTCTCCTGATGAACTACAGCCATAAACGAAAAACAATCCACACTTTATAACTGAATGAATGACCTGAAGTGAACCTCCAGTCATTGTTTGTGCTAACCGGGGTGCATAAAAATGTTTATTTCATTTGTTAAACAAAAGAATCAACCAAAAATAAATATCTCTTGACATAAAAAACGAAAACATTACAATTACATTTCATCACAAGCATGCAAAACCTACATTTATACCCTTGCTGATTTAAAACAATTCACCCTAGTGCTAACTACAATTTGACATAATGCCTAAATTAAGAACATGAAAAACATTTTCTATGTCCTATATCAGGGGTCCTCAAACTTTTTAAACCGGGGGCCAGTTCACTGTTCCTCAGACCGTTGGAGGGCCGGACTATAGTTTTTTTTTTTAAAAAAAAACAATCAGTTAAAATATTTGTGTGCACATTGCACATACCTTATTTTGCTGTGTGCAAGGGCCCTTAGAGGGGGTTCTTTCTAGCCCTCTTTAGGCAGTAATTCCAGGAGCAGAGAATGGGAAATCTTCCTATTTCTAGTCTGAACAAAATCTGGCTACCAGTATTAAAAAAAACTCTAAAATTATAACTGTAAATAAAGAACAACACTCAAACACAGGGGAACTCCAGACAAGAAACAATCAGGGCCAGCTAATCACCTCTCAACAAAGGATTCTCCCTAAAAACTGTCAGGCTATGAAATGGTAATCAAGGAGGCCAATTGAAACATTCATCCCTACCTCCAACAGACAAGAATTCTTTCTCCCACCCTGGATCTTCCACAATTTTCCTAGTTAAAGGTTTTCCTCTGACATGAAGTCCAGTCGTGTCTGACTTTGGGGTGTGATGCTCATCTGCATTTCTAAGTCGAAGAGCCGGCATTGTCCGTAGACACCTCCAAAGTCATGTGGCTGGCATGACTGCATGGAGCGCCAGGGCAGCCTCCCTTGGCTGGCTCATGCTGCCCATCGGGCCCGATGGGCAGCGTGAGCCTGCCAAGGGAGGAGCAGCACCGTGTGGCCTACTCTCGCATAAAGCACCTTGCGAGGTGCTTTACGTGAGAGTAGGCCGTGCGGGGCAGCCGCCCTTGGCTGGCTCACGCTGGCCATCAGGCCTGACGGATAGCGTAAGCCAGCCAAGGGAGGGGCACTGAGTCGGGGGGGCGCTCCTCCTCCGCGGGCCGTATTTTGAGGACCCCTGTTCTATATCCTCCAGAGTCATGTGCACCAATAAGACTGACACAATAAGAATTACACCACAGTCTATATGTTTGAAAACTAAGGAAAGTACAAACTGATAGTTTGATATATGACTCAAACTAAAGCCAGGGATGAAGTCAGGAAAGACAACTTGTATTCTGTACTTTAACTACAAAGTCTACATCAATAGGTATACTGTTTGGGGGAAAAAAATATGCTTACCACATTTTCAAGGATCTAAGCAACAATTTTAGGAAGAGAAAGAAAAGTTAACAAGAAAATGAATTGAAATAAGATGGGAAGGAGAAATGACCTGAGAAAGTGAAAGAGGACTGTGAGAAGAAATGGTGAGGAAAGAAGGCAAGCAAGAACAAATCAACACAGCAAGCAAAGAAGAGGTAAACAAATTAAAATAAATACGATTATGGAGATACAAAAACAAAGATCAAAGCTGATGAAGGACAGAGTCTGAGGGTAGAATTGGGAGAAGAGCAAGATGCAACAGCAACCACAATAATCAATTTATATTAATGGAAGGTTGTCTTAACAGGAGGCTAAAGGGTGAAGAAAGGGAACGCTAAGGGATCCATTAGAAATCATTATGTGCCTATATGATGTTGTTGTTCAGTCAGCCAGTCGTTTCCAACTCTTCGTGACCTCATGGACCAGCCCACGCCAGAGCTCCGTCAGCCATCACCACCCCCAGGTCTTTCAAGGTCAATTCAGTCACTTCAAGGATGCCATCAATCCATCTTGCCCTTGGTCGGCCCCTCTTCCTTTTTCCTTCCATTTTTCCCAGCATCACTGCCTTCTCCAAACTTTCCTGTCTTCTCATGATGTGGTCAAAGTACTTCATCTTGGCCTCTACTATCCTTCCCTCCAATGAGCAGTCGGGCTTTATTTCCTGAAGTATGGACTGGTTGGATCTTCTTACAGTCCATGAAACTCTCAGAACTTTCCTCCAACACCACAGTTCAAAAGCATCTATCTTCCTTCGCTCAGCCTTCCCTATGGTCCAGCTCTCACATCCGTAGGTGACTATGGGGAATACAATTGCTTTTACTATGCAGATCTTTGTTGCCAATGTGATGTCTCTACTCTTCACTATTTTATCAAGATTGGACATTGCTCTCCTCCCAAGAAGTAAATGTCTTCTGATTTCCTGGCTGCAGTCTGCGTCTGCAGTAATCTTTGCACCTAGAAATACAAAGTCTGTCACAGCCTCCACATTTTCTCCCTCTATTTCCCAGTCGTCAATCATTCTTGTTGCCATAATCTTGGCTTTTTAGCTGCAACCCAGCTTTTGCGCTTTCTTCTTTCAACCATGATTAGAAAGCTCCTCAGCTCCTCCTCACTTTCAGCCATCAAAGTTGTGTCATTTGCATATCTAAGATTGTTAATGTCAATGTGCCTATATGCAGGAAGCATATAAACATACAATGACAGCTACAGTATGTCAGACCGTTTGATAAAAAAGAAGACAGATGACAATCAGGCAAGCCAAAGCCAGGATTAAAGTGCCAATTAAAGATCACCTCAAATGACACCTACAGATGTAAAATAAAGGAAGAAAAGACAGCCCTCAGACTCAAAACATGGAGAGGGATGAAGTGTCACTGGGATAAAAATCAGACCATTGAAGAGGAAATGAATTTACAAAACAGTGAAGGAGGAGGACTTTGCTCAAACAGTCCATGCTGGTATTTACCCTGCCTCACCCATTTTGTATAACCTGTGTTTCATTCGGGATCACATTTAGGTGGAACGTTTATAGGTCGGAAACCATTGTCAATTCAGTATGCTAGAATCAAATAAAAGAAAATTAATGTTCTTTCTCTGGAAGCACACAGGAGGGAAAGAGGAGAAGAAAGAGAGAGGGAAAGAGAGCAGCTTTTCCAGTGAACGATACAAGGATAACTTTGAACGATGGACTTTTGTTTGAATAGACAGTCTCTTGATGACATACATTTTATTCAAATCCAAACAAGCATTTCCCCAGAAAATTGTTGTTTATTTGTTCAGTCGCTTCCGACTCTTTGTGACTTCATACACCAGTCCACGCCAGAAAATAATATTTAATTAATCCAAGCATGTGTTAAGCTCAGAAGCATTCCTCAACTTATTCTCTATCACTCAGGAGAGAGTGTTTCTAAAGATGGTGATTACTATTTGCAGATTTCCCTTCTGTATGTTTTAAAAAGAGGATATTTTAAAATGCACTTGGTTAGTTCATCAAATTATTATTTAACCAGTCACCAGACAAACAGCAACACCTTTGTCTTTTGCTATACTATATATATATGTGGATTGCCCAACCTTTTTGTCACAAGATATGGGATATCTTGGGGGTAACACATGTGGGCACATCCACACATATTATTTATTTATTTATTTATTTGCAGTATTTGTATACCGCTTTTCTCACCCCGTGGGGGACTCAAAGCGGTTTACACATAAGTAATGGCAAAAATTCAATGCCAGTACAAACAATTATAATTATACGCTACAATTAAAGCACACGTTTTATCAATTTGGGTATTTTCCACATCTAGTATGTAAAACACTGTTCATT